TTGAAGGAGTATATTTTTGTATTTTCTTCTTTGATCTCTCTGATTATCAGAATTTTTTAATATATCATTTGACTCACATTTCCTTTTATATTTCTATACTAATTACACTTTTAATTAACATGACAGATTGAAATATAAAAAGATAATTAAAACTCAGAGTAGCATATAAATTGCTAGCCTTACAATGTGATTCCTCAAAAACTGTTTGAAAGATGTATGTTGATATCATCCTCTAATTAATTAATAACACAGTAATTAATCATGCATTAATTCATATGTTTTTATTGAGTAGGCTGAAGAATAGAAACTGATAAATATCAAACTAAACACATCAAACTGAATTTTTCACGATTATATATATTTTAATGTAAGAAGCAGGAACATTTTGTGTTTCTGGATATATGTGTAAACTGAATACAAATATAATGATAGATATACACATTATATACTGGTTATATATTGACATGGTTAGAGTAAATATATGTGCATGTGGGTGTATCACTAGTAAAGGCTGACAGGAAGCAAAGTTGAAGTTTCAAGATCAGTAATGTTGATAGATAGTCAAATCATTTTAGAAAGAAAAAAAAATGTTTTTCCAGTTGTGTTTCCACTGTGTTTCTCCACAAACTGCTGTTTCCTGTATTAGAAATTTGATGATAGTTACAGTATTGGTATTAGTACTACTGGAACTACTACTAAGATACATTTTTGACAGATATGATACTGAGATATAATGCAGATATGAGCCCTACATCTACTGGTATCAACACAATTTTCTGCACAGATATCAGTGGGACGGAGATTTCACAACATATCTTTAAGAGTTATTCGGAACAATTATGACAGGTGGAGGGAAGGATCAGGCTTTCACTAAAGAATTTTTGAACTACAAGATGGAATTACCTATATATTCTTTATTTCTTTATATAAAGCATAAAAAGAATAACAATTCACAATTTTATGGTATACTCCTGAATGATATCCTAGTGTTCTGGCACCAAATTCAGCAAGGTTAATACCACGCAGTAGCCGAACCCTTTGAATTAGTAGGTCTTGCTTTGTCAGCCTTTTGCATGTTTAGTTTCTATTCAGAAAGGCACCATTTCTCAGAACTACAGCTTTACAGGAGAGGTCAAAACACATATAGAGGATGGACAGATGAGGAACACTCAAAGGAGACACCAGACGGACCTTTTCTCTTTGCTCTGACAATGGGCCATGGATCTGGCTCGCAGCAGCTATTCCAACACTGAGATTGCCAGCTGAGCTGAAGAGCATTGAAACGTGTTTTAGAAACTACTGCCGTTTGAAAGGGTAGAGGAAACATGCTTTTCTCTCAGCTCACTAATTTGTGTCTTTTAGAAAGAAATATTCCGTAGTATAAACACCTGGATTGTTTATAAGCCAAATTTTGCCCCATATCTTTTCTCCATTAGTAGCAACCATGAGGTACTGAGGAAAGCATATGGTGACCCTTTCTGATATAAACTCTTCCAGTCTGCATTGATTTGGGTCTTTATTTGCAAGATTAATTATATGATACAGGTGAAATCTAATCCTAAATTAATGTAACACCAAAAAAGAAAGAAAGAAAAAAAAAAGACAGGAATACTAGAAACTTACGCTTCTCATTAAAGAGATGTGAAACATCTGAGCCTGAATTTATTTAATATAACATTTCTAAAATAATAAATCTCAGGAATGCTGGAAGTAAAAGTAATAATTTTCTAAAATTTTAAATTTTAGAGCTTGTCCAAAGCCCGCCATTTGGGGGGGCCTGCCTATTTGGTTATGTAAGCAGTATAAACAAGCTCATTCTTTCCCGCTCTCAGAAATCATTAACCAATGCTGGACTGTAGAGACTGTTCATCTGTTTGGGGATTCACATATTTACCCGTCCAGACAGAAATCACCATCTAAAGCTGATCTGAAGTTCAGGAAAAGTCCCTGGCAATTTCCCTCAATACCCTAAGATGAAAGCAAACAACATACCTGAAATGGAGAACAATAAATCATGGTAAATACTTGCCAGATACCTGAACTGACAATGAAAGGGTTGATTTCCCCCATGCCAAGATTGAGAAGAGACGGATGGAAGGCATTAGAAATGATCACGATCAAGGAAGCCATGTTGAGAGCTCTGCAGCATGTCTTAAAGGATTGGCCTCCTAAATTTCATCAAAGAGAATTGAAAGAATTAGCCAATGAGCCCAATGAATCATTATTGATCATTTTTACCAAATATCACAGCTTTGTGAAATTTTGAAGAACCAGGAAATTGCCTGTTGTGCCTTTGTTCAAAACCTCATAGAGTGTTTGAGGAGTAAATAGGTGATTCACTTGGATTTGGTGCCAAGGAAAATCATGAGAAGGGTGACATGGGAAGTAGTTTAGTAATGCGAACATACTGAAAGTCATACAACATAATTCAAAAAGAAGTTTAACATATGGTTTCATCTGTTTAAAGAATTTGCATAAGAAATTTTTAATTACGGACAAGCTGTGATCTAAAAGGAAAAGAAGCAAAATATAAAACCGAGGTTGGAAACTGAAACAAAACAAAACACAACCAAAAAAAAAAAAAAAGAGAGAATTGAAAACTGTCACTCAGTTTATCAGTTTAACAGGTAACTATGATTTAGAGCCATTGAAGAGCAAGCTTTTTGCTTGTTAACTCTCACTTACTGCACATCAGCTTTGGTTATTCTTCTGAAAGGTTTTAGGACTGGAGGCATAATGATGGGTCCCACTTAAATTGCCACGGTCCTGCATTTGGAATAGGGATTATCATGCTTGAGAATTGCCAGAATCTTTCTATAAGAACCCTTGAACAGGTCCTTTTTTTTTTTTTTTTTTTTAAGTTAAATACTTCTATAGAGAATATTCCAGTTCAAACAGGAGGTATGAACATTCAGAATGATTGGCAGTTTGAATTGTGACAATGATGAAAATTGCTGCGGCATAAATCCCTTTTATCTATCCCTAAGACAGCCATCATTAGAAAGGAATGGCAGCCTAAGAGAGCATTAACTTGAGTCTTTGTAGATAGGAATTTAGTTCCCCGCTCTTTATCAAGCTTTCCATGGGGCACTTAAAACAGGCACTTATATCTGAAAGTGAAAACCAACTACCTGTACCAGCGGGTTTTTTTTCCGGTCAAGTTTTGTATGAACTTGCTGCTTCAACTCATATCCAGTCATGTCAGTTAAAATAACTGACCAAAACGGTGCTATGGGTTTGAAGCACTCTTTAGTCTCCTTAAAGAATCATATCATAAACTGAGATCAGTGTTGAGCAGGTCCTAAGCTGGTCTAGAGATGTCATTTATTTTGGGTGACCTCTTCTGGCATGCCTAACCCAACACACACACCCTTGATCAAGCCACAGTCAAGCCACAATCAAAAAGCCATTGCCATTTTCATTCAAAATGAAACTGAAGTTGGAGACTTCAGGCGTTAGACATGTCTAATGTAAAATAAATCCAGCCTTAGAGTGCCTCACCTTTGAGAAGGAGCGAGCCAGGTTTGATTCTCTCATCTGCCTGCAGGAATTCCAATACACGTGTCCAATTTTAGGATGATCGTCTGCACAACAGATTCCAAATTACTCCAGAGAGAGAGACGAGCTCAGCAGCTTTGTGTGAAGCTGAGCCACTCTGCACAACAGAATTATATTCATTCAGCAGAGAAGGGAAGAGCTACCTTCTAGACCCAACAGGTTATATCACTTGTCAGGTGTGTGCGTACAGGGAAGGCCTTTCTCCAGAAAGTGAAAATGCATCAACATCCTTGGGAGCTGGGGTCTAGAATAAAATTTTCTTTCTCTCTGACCCAGAAGGTTTTTATTTCCTTTCTTTGTGGAAGTAAACATCTCAAGAGAAGATGCAGCCATGACCACCCACCCAAAATAGCCAAAGGAAGATGAAGTTTACGATCAAGTCAGTTCTTGGTCTTATTGCAGTTCCAAGCACTTTGTCTTCTCCATGAACTGTGTAACCAACTCAGGTGCCTACTTCAGTGCTGTAGATTTTTCTCTGGCAGCTCAGCACTTAAGGTATTCTGTGGATCTGTTCCGTTGGTCTTTCCCTCAGGATCAGATGCCAAATCAAATGTCAGCTCTGTCATCACATCAGCTGCTCTGTGGTACCTGTAATTTTGGAGTGCAGTATCTTAGGTGGTGGGAAATATCAAGCAATTGGCTTAACTTGGTCTGCAAATGTAATTTCACATTGAAGATATTATTTCTTTCCTAGAGAATTCATCTTCCTTCGGAGAAGGATTTTATTGCATCTTCTGAGATGGAAGATGCAATAAAAGTGGGGGAAAAGAACCTTACAGATTTTAACAAATAAACTTTTTTGGCTAACCTATTATAAATCTGTTCACAGGTATAAATATGAATCCACCACTGCAGTAGTTTTATGTGCACTTCGTGTAAAATGAACTGTGATCATTAGTACATGGGCATATTTTGATAATGTATGCAAAAGGATTAAATGCTCAACTAAGTTAACAGAAATCATATATGCACAACTCCAAGATTGTATGTCTGTGAGTCTGACGATACTAATTGTAGTCACTATATCCATATTTTAGTTACAGGGATTGCTCTAATCCTTAAAAAATGAAAAGAATAAGGGAAAGTAAAGAGAAGAGAAGAGAAGAGAAGAGAAGAGAAGAGAAGAGAAGAGAAGAGAAGAGAAGAGAAGAGAAGAGAAGAGAAGAGAAGAGGAATTGCATCCTAAACCATAATCTTGATTTATAGCAAAATTGCATTTTGTCTCTGTAGTCCAGCTGCCAGCAAATCAACCCTACTATTAAGATCTTCTCTTTTTTTTTTCTTTTAAAAGTGTATTAACGACAAAACAAGGCCCTTAAACTACTGCCGCTGGCATCAGCCATTCAAACATAGCTGTGTTGCACTTTTTAACAACCAAATTAATTCCACATGAAGAGAAAAAGTATTTACTCTTTTTTTCTTTCCTTTTTCAAACTCTGCAGACGTCTTGCAGGAAATGGCTTGACATACATTCCTAAGGGAGCATTTGCCGGCCTTTTCAGTCTTAAAGTGCTGTAAGTAAACTGTGTGTTGTTTGATATATTTCTGATATCCTAAATGCTCCAGGGAACTAATTAACTAGTGAAGTTTTGATCAGCTAAATTACATGTTTTGATTGGTTGATCTTGAACAACTCAGTTGGAATGAAGATGATTAGGAATACCATTAATTTTTTTCTTTCTTTTACTTAGAAAGTATCTTAAAGGTTTGAAAACATTAACATCATTCTAAAAACAACTTTTTTGTCAAGTAGATGTCTCTGTACAATATCACAGGTGAAAATTCAGTTAAAAGTATCGTTAATTGACTCATAAGTTCTGAAATCAAGTCTAAAAACCTTAGTGTACTTTTTGTGACACCATAACATGAAGAAAAAGTGCCCTTTCCTTTTATTGGGAGCTGAGGTAAACAACTAATTATTATGAAATACTACGTAATTTAAAATCCAGTTCTTACTTTATATCTAGATCTTATTCTTGTAGATATAATAACTACAAGATTATTTATCAAACATATGCCTAAAACATGTATTATTTATATTAATAAGACTGCACATATTGTTACTAAGATTATTAGATGGCCAAATCTCACTATGTTTATACTTGAAGGGATTTTTGGTTATGAAAACATCACAAAAATTTCTTTGCTACCAGAAATGCCAACTTTTTAGTCAGTGTCAAGGAAATCCAAACCCTAATATAAGGGGGCACAAAACTCTGCTGCAAGGATAGCTAAGTGTAAAAGAAGTATGAAGAGCTTCCCACTCCATACACTCTTAAGTTGGCACTGTTGTAACTGTTGCTGGCCTGGAGAACTTTTGGCCTGCCAAAAATGATTCTGCTAACAATGTCCCATCATGTATGCCCCATTTAGAAGACAGAATGAACTTCCTCCATTTTACTCAGATACTTTTGTATTTCTAGGATACTTCCCTAGAAATGCACTTTCAAACAAAGCACAAGTGTGAATGAAAGCCACCTCTTGCTCCTCACAAATTGATGCTCCATATTCTAAGGGAAGAAGAGGTTGGAGTGAAAAAATACTTTCCATCCTTGCAAGCTTAATATGTAGAAAGATTTGTTGAGTTATTGTCAGCAACCCTTCCTTTCAGAAAGTTAATTTCATTGGGAAAAATTCAGCACTCTTTACAGAGCTATAATTTCATTCAAACCAGATCAGACCTCACACAGTATGTAGCATTTTCCTGAGTTAAGGATCTCAAGAGTGGATCCTTCAGAGCCTTATCAGGAAGAGAAACTGAATGACTTCAGAGGAAGGGAAAGAAAATCAATACACACTAATGACAATTTCAGAATCAATGGAGGCAATTAGGAGCTCAAGCCCTGTTGAAAATGAATAGGATTTATTCTGTTAACTTCCTGAGCTGCTGTAAAAATTCTGCTCAAAGCTGGTGTGTAGCTGTTAATAAAGCTAATATGCTACAGCTGCTTGTCCGCTCTGAAGAGCTTTAGCATCCCCACGAGTAGGGGAAGGGTGTATTTATGTAGACTGTTTGTTTGTAATCTTAAAGTATAACAAAAAAGAAAAGGAGATGAGCTTGGAAGAAAATTTGCAGTAAAAAATAATTCTTTCCTATGTTGGGTCTGGTTTTCATGTTAATCTAAATGTAGGATGCTGCAGAATAACCAACTACGCCAGGTTCCTGCTGAAGCACTTCAGAACTTGCGCAGCCTCCAGTCTCTGTGAGTACACTTGATATGTCAACAGGTAACTTTGTATTAACAATATTCTGTTAGATTACCTGTTAATTATCTCCTTATTGTGCTGAAACAACTTTTTGTTTAAATGCTGTTCAAGTTGCTTTTCTTCAGAATTGTTCTTTCGGTTAAACATCTGAAGCGACTAATTTCATTCCAGCAATTTTGTGACATTGGCTACTGCTTTACAGTGTTATAAGATGGTTCATGGTCTGAGAAAATACTCCTTGCCTGCAATGTTTTCTGTCTTTCAAGAAGAATATGATCCCTTGAGCACTTGTCTTTCCCATTAGGAGAATACGAAATGACTCCCTTTTTTGTTTCATCTGGTGTAATTTTTTTCTTTTAAAGCAACATTGAAAACTATTAATTCATGAAACAAAGTGTTCAAGAGGATGCTTAATTATAGTCTGTGCTTCAGGCAAATCTTCTTATTTATATTTCTTGACTGTGCCATGCTGACTCAGTCCACCGTTTTCAGTTTTCACAGAACTGCTGCCAAAATTCCTAGACCAGGAGTGAGGATTGGCTGGTTACTAGTATGAATGAAATTATGTTGATGAGTTTCTGCCCTGTAACATAAGAATGATTGTACCAGGTCATGCTAAAAGCTGGCCTAGTCCATTATCCAGTCTTGAACAGTAAGGAAAGGAAAAATAACAGATTAGATAAAAAATATGGTAATATTTCCTTGGTATCCTGTCCCAAATCCCAGAGATTTGTATTTAGGGACTCACCTAGCCCATAGTTGCTTCTTAGTTCTTAAAGAATTTTATTTTATGAGTTTAAGTTCTTAAAGAATTTTATTTTATGAGTTTAACAGTTGCTTTTTGAGTCTAGTTAACAGACTTCTTTTTTTTTTCATGGCAGAGTATCTGCTAATCATCTAACTGTGATAAAGCACCTGCTTTTATTTATTCTGAAATTTCTACCACATTTGGTGTACCTAAATGAGTGTCATGAGTGTGTCTGAACAGCTCTTTGTTGTTGATGAACTCTGAATTTTGTAGACCTTCATCCTATCTCCCTTAGTCATGTTTTTCAGTCCTACGTTGTTGAACCATTTCATATGTGGGAGCTCTTCCTTTCTTCTGGTTGTTTTTGTCACTCTTCCCTGAACTTTTTTCCCTCTTTCTCTTATATTGTATTTGTGACTGAGGGGGGTGATAAGACTTGCACAGAATATTCAAAGTAGATGTGCATGCCGTAGATGTGGCACAATGATGATTTGTTTTGTTCTCTTTCCTATTAATTCTACAAACTTAGTTTTGTTTTTAGCCCTTGTGGAGCGCTGAACCATTATTTTCAGATCTGTTTTTTACAACCTGAAGACCTCTTTCTGTCATATTAATAGCTACTCAAGAATTCCTCATATAAGCTTGGGACCTCATATAAGATTTTCCCCAAATTCATTACTCCATATTAATCTGCCCTGAAATCCATCTGCCGTATTATCACTTGGTCAATTCAGTATCATGTGTGCCTTCCTCGGCTCTTGCAGTTAACATGTTGCATCCAGGAGATTGCTTCTGCTTGTCTTAATGCAGCATGCAATAAATAGATTGTATTTCTGAATTATCCAGAAATGTTCATTGTGGCCTGATACAAAAATAATAAGGGTTAAATTTTCTAAAGTGTATATAGATATTGAATGTGTAGCAAAAGATAGCCAGATGATGGGAGATAGGCATGCAACTTCTTTGGAAGCAGGAAAATGCCTGGTGACTCTTCTCTATGCTTTAGCTGGACCACCTCATACTTTCACAGAATTATTTTGTAATTATTTTCCTAATAAGTTACAAGACCCTAATGTAGTACTCATTACAGAAATTCAGCAATCTGTTAGAAAGAGAAATGTTCCTACAGTGTGTGCTAATCAGCTGTCTCACTGGTAAAAGTCAGATGAAGACAAGGACACAGTGAGCATGGATCCATACTGTTCACTCTGGTTAGACTCAAGATATCTCTCTCAGGGGGAAGCATACAGCGTAGAACATGCTGTCTTCTTTTCTATGTGTATAAAAATATTCCACCAGATGGTTAACCTCTTTTTCATAGTTCAATTCAGCCAAATTCTAGAGAACCGAATTAATGAAATGAACTGATTTCCAGCAAAATTGTCATTCGTGTGTAATTTACCATTACTTACACAGATATTATAAAGTATTAACTCCCAGGGTTTAATGTCCGTCTTGAACAATAATTACCTCCTTTGTACACAAAATGTTTGTTAAGGTTTGTAAAGGTAAAACAGCCCTGAGAATTAATTATCTTATAATTGTTATTTGGTCAGTGCCTTTTTTCTTTATTGACGAGACACAGAATGAAATATCTGAGCCATATACTTTTGAGGTTACAGTTCTTTCCTTTGATGTTTTAAAAAGTCATGAGAAAATGCTGGTCTAGTGACTGTATTAGATTTTCTTTCTGCTAAACAAACAAGAAAATCTTGCTGAGATCACATCATTCTATACACATTCTGGACCAAAACATGATAAACTAAGCAAACAAGAGTTCCTTTGTTGCTCTGAAAGAAACTGTTGAATTTTCAGTACAGTTTCTAAACTAAATGACGGTCTCACTTGTCCTTTGTTGCAAGTATCTTTTCCTGAGGCAAGGAAGAAGCTGAAGAAGTAAACCATAGTTTATGTAGTCTCTGCAAAGGACTGATATCCTGTGGCAGAATCAAAACAGAGGGAGAATAGTAATGGCCAGTAGAAACCTTTAAACAGCTGTGTAGCAGACCCAAGATAGAATGATAGAGGGTTATACAGAAAAGCTACTATCAGCTGAAAGACGATCAGTGGCGAAAGAGACCTCTTTGAGGAAAAGAAAACTATTAATCTTTTGTTTGCTTTAACTAGGTTGTGCTTGTCAGATAAAGCCATGCAGAGATTCAGTTTCTTGCTTCATACAGTCTAGCAATTTTCTGTTCACAGGGTGACTCTTGCATTGGTTTCTGATTTACAATAGGAATTATTTCTTGAAACGTTTGAAATAACAGGAGTCTTTCGCAGGGTGTAATTAAGAGGTTAAAAGCCTTCACAAAGGAACATTTTCTATAGCAGAGCAAGTTCTTTTATTTATTATGTTTAACTATATAGGCTGGCATAATGTGAAGAAGCCTCATTAACCCCTTTCCTCAGGCAAGAACAATTGCAGGGGAAAAAAAGAAAAGCTGGTAACAGAACTCAAAAATCTGCCTTTTGTTCTTTTCACCCAAGAAAGATGATCATGTAGGGGAACAAATGATACTAGCTGCCTTGTGGCCTTAAGTAATATGAAGAGGATTAGATTAAAATATTTTGTATATAAATGCAATGCTCTGTGTGTGTGTGTGTGTGTATGTACACATACCTACAGATTTTCCATGATCACTCATAATACAAATTCATTACAGATTTTTGCACAAAAGGATGATCTGGATCTGGATATTGTTCCTTCCTTATCCTTTAGGTCCAGGTTCAGTAATGACAGTCTAAGTATTGATATTGACAGACAGACTAGTTGGTATTAGTTGGCCTGTGGTACATAGAGTAAGAACTAATGGATTACAGAGATTAGCAAAAGTTCCTTCTTCTTCCACATCCAAGATGTAATACTATTTGCATGCTAAATGGAGTGATATATATTCATAAATTTCTTAGGACTTTCTTAAGATTTGAGCTATCTTTAAATATATGTCACTTCTTCAGGCAGCAGACATTATTTAATACTGTAAATTGAGAAATGGGAAAAAAAGCAAAAAAAAAAAAGACGAGGATTTGTCATTTAATCTCACGTAGTAAAAATCTATGAGAAATCTTCAATCAAGCGAAGATGTGTATGTTTTTATGTAACTTAAACAAAAATAAGATAAAACAATATTAAAATCCTCCCCAGTTCTATAAAAATCTTTGTAGTTCACTAATCAGCAATACTGATGTGATGCTTGGACAATGATTGTGTAGGACTTGAATTCTCTTTATGGCGGGAGGATTTAAGGAAGTAACCAGATCAAGCAGATTTTTGAGATGTGGTTATCATCTCCAATGTCTTTAACATATTACATGGGCTATAATTTTCCTTTGAAACCTAATATAAGTACAAATTATCAGGATTACTGACCCTAACAATAGAAATAATATTTATTTCTGTTAAGCCAAAGAGAGGAAAACATGTTCTCAAGTACCATAGCTGAAAGTCACCAGCATGTAATCTCTGATGTGTTGCAACTTAGATCCTGGCAGCATGGTTTGAACTGCCACTTGAATGCTGTCTTCCCTATCATGTTCACCTTCAGCAATTGTATTTCTTTAGAGCTGGCTAAAAGCAGATGGTCTTTGTGTTTTAGGTTTCCCAGGCTCCAATATCTCCATTCTTGCACACTGCTTTTTGAACTAAGAAAGCTTTTATTGATTTTGAATAGACCTGTGTAGTCCTGTAACTTTTTAAAAATATAGTTATTAATTAACAGCTTGTTCTCTAGCCAACTCTTTTCACTTAACTTGTATATTTGTTTAAATAGATACCTTCCTTTCCTGTAGTATAATTCTCTTGTCCTGTGTATGCCAATTCTGGCACATAAATTATGTCAGTACCATATAAGTATTTTATTTTTGAACCAGAAGGGTCTGCCAAAGCAGGCAATGACATGTCAGTTATTTTTTTAAAAGTTTGCTCCCTGGACTTGTTAACACAAATAATTTTTTTACAAGGAACTGATAAGTTTGCAGATCTCTATTTTTAAATGTTACTAAACAAAAGAGAAAATTATAATTAACACTGTTGATGGAGAAACAAACCTGCTGCTCTTCTTTATTGCACTGTTGTGATACAAGACTATGCAGTGAATACTACAGGTGAAACTTCATTCTATGTTTGTTTTCTTGTTTAAATATCTTTGTTAATGAACAGCTTTTACTATTGCTTTGTCAGACATAAAAATATTAAGAAGAAAAACGCACCAAGTAATAATGCACTGTCCATACCCAAACAGTGATAGA